CGTGTGCTCTTCCGATGTCTCAGCATACTCGAAAAATACTCCTCTTATTCTAAATTGCTTAAGATCGTCTCGTATTGTCTACGTCTTCGCCCCGCGAGAAAGCATAGCGGTGCGTTATGTGCCGAAGAAATCAGCGAAACCGAAACACGCGTTTTAAAATTTCTGCAAGCCACTAGATTTCTTGTCGAAATTCAGTGTATCAAGAGCGGGAATCCTACGATCAGGAGTCGAATCGCGAATTTAAATCCATTTTTTGACGAGAACGGTTTGATTCGTGTCGGAGGACGACTTCGGAAGGCAAATCTAACTTTCGCACAGAAACATTCAATTCTACTTTCGAACAAACACAGTTTAACCGACCGCATTATTCGCGAAATACACGAAACGCACTATCACACAGGCATTCAAACCACGCTGTACATACTTTGACAGAGATTCTGGTTGATCGACGGTCGGAACCAGGTCCGAAGGATTGTACGCTCGTGTACGCGATGTCACAGGTTCGACGCCAATGCCATTGAGTACAAAATGGCAGATTTGCCATCGGTCCGTGTGAGTGAAGCAATACCTTTCGCGAACGTCGGTATCGATTTCTGCGGACTGTTTCATATAAAAGAGAAAAAATATTGCAATCGGGCTCAAATCAAGGTGTACGTATGCGTGTTCGTATGCCTGTCAATAAAGGCTGTATATCTTGAGGTTGTGAGCGACCTAACGTCCGACGGCTTTCTTGCCGCATTTCGGTGTTTCATTGCGAGACGGGGTATCCCAGCACATGTCTATTCTGATAACGGAACAAATTTCGTGGGCGCGAATAATCAGTTGAAGGAAATATACGCTTTATTTAACACCGAAGATCACAAAGATCTCGTGAACAGGTTCGCAAGCGGCCACCAATGGCATTTTATTCCACCGGTAGCCCCCCACTTCGGTGGATTATGGGAGTCTACTGTAAAGCTCTTTAAACATTACTTCAGACGCGTGATAGGAGACACTCTTTTTACGTTTAAAGAGCTAAATACATTCACTACCAAAGTTGAGAGCATCTTGAACTCCAGACCTATTACCTCCCTTTCCTCAGATCCAAACGACATGTTAGTTTTAACACCCGCTCACTGTCTAATTGGTAAACCGCTAATGACCCTGCCGGAGGGGGATCTGACGTCTGTTCCAGCAAATCGATTATCGACATGGCAACACATTTCAAAGATGCGACAAGATTTCTGGGCTCGCTGGCACCTCGAATACTTAAACGAACTACAAGTTCGTAACAAATGGAATAAGAACGGTCCAAAGCCCGACATTGGGACGGTCGTTCTTGTCAAGGATAAAAACCTTCCATGCACGCAGTGGATGTTGGGCAAGATCACAAGTCTACATGCGGGCGAAGATGGAGTGGCTCGAGCAGCCACTATCAAAACAAAAACCAGAGAGATAAGGAGAACTACGAAGGCTCTTTGTCCGCTTCCGATAGAACAATAAGTTCACACATATTCATGCGCATATATCTGTATACAAATAGGTAATTTAAAATATTTACACATATTCAGACGCGCGTAATTATAAGCATATATATATGTAATGCAAACTATGTATACACACATATGTAACCATATAATTTAAGTG